TGTAGGAACATATTTTTAAAAAGATTTAGCAAAGATTTTTAATACACSGTGCCATCTATCGCTGCATTATTATTTTTATTATTTTACCTGAGGCATGATCCTAATTAAATAAGGATGTTTTCTGAGTTTCTATTTTAAGATCCGGGCAATCATTTAAGCCTCAGATGCTTTTAATATTACTCAGATGGAAATGGCTAACATGCTGTGTTAGCTCAAATCTTCTGAGAAACAGACACAAAGATGGGGTTAGACTTGCAAAGAATTTATTCGGGTAAATACATGTGAGAGAATATGAGGAGGAAGCCAAAGACTGAGAAAGCTATAAGACTGCAATCCCAATCTGACCCTGAGTGAATAAGAAAGGAAAGAAGTTACATCGTAGACARTACAATTCCACAGGAGATTTGGCAAGGCTGTTGAAATAATTCCCAAGCCAGAGGCTTTGGAGAAATTCTTTTCTCCCAAGAATAAATCTGCCTTTATTATCTCTTCTAGGCTCATTTGCAGGGACTAATTTATGGCTTTGAGACCAGTATGGTTTGGATACCAGAATACTAGAGCTGGGATCTTAGGTCAGTTTATGAAGTTTATGATCAGAGAGATGCATTCTCATAACTGGTAAATCATGGCATGCTATATATTTATATTTGTATATCTTTGCCACTAGTCAGGTAGAGTATGTAGAGTGAAGGATAAAATTCTAATCATATTCTTTATTAAGAATGATTTAATGATCACTTATGTGCCAGATACTATATTTGATGCTGAAAGTAAGACTTACAAAGAAATACAAAACAAAGTACAGAGTATGAAATGGATTGTATTTATTGAAATTCAACATTGTTAATATATTAGAAAAGATGGCCATGAAAAAATTATTAGGATATGTAATAAACTGTTAACATTGSTTATTTGTATAGAGTACAAATAACCAATGTTAACAGTAAACAAGGAAGTATGGAGGGAACTAAACTTGAAGTAAACAAGGAAGCATGGAGAGAACCTAAAATTTTTACTTCATAAAATTCTGATTCAGTGTTTTATTACAGACATTTTAAAACTAAAATTTTTCTTTTTAATTTGGCTTTCCATGATTTAGGAAAGAATCATATATTGCTTAATATTTTAAAATGTGTTTATATAGACTCAGTCATACTCTAAAGAAACTATCTTTGGCTGGGCTGGGGTTATAGTTCAGAAGTAGAATATTTGCCTAGAATGTGTAAAGCCCTGGGTTCAGACCCCAGCATGGCAAACAAATAATCAAAAATCTATCTTTGTCCTCTGACATAGAAAAATAAAAATTATATACAAGCCGTACATTAAATATTCACTTTATTATCAGGTTCTATTACCTTTTCTTGTTCTTTGACTTACTCTAGGTTTAATATATGCTGCTTTTTATTATTCTAAAGGTGGAACCATAGATCACTGATATAAAACTTTTTTCTTTTCTAAGATAAACACTTAAAAACTATATATTTTCTTAGCACTGCTTTAGCTGCATCCTGCAAATTATGGTATATTTTCATTTTCACTCAGTATTTTCTAATTTTCCTTTTAATTTCTTTTTTTCACCAATGGATTATCTGGAAGTATATTTAACTTCCAACTGTTGGGAATTTTTCAGCTATTTATTAATTTCTAGTTTAATTCCATTGTGGCCATAGAATATATTTTATTTTTAACACACTTTATTGAGATGTGTTTGATAACTCAATCTGTCTTAGTAAATGTTTATGAACTTGAAAAGATGTATTGGTGCTGTACTGGTGTAGAGTGTTTCATAAATGTCAAATWGTTTGACAGTATTGTTTAAGTCTTACATATCTTTAACTAATTTGTCTACCTGTTCTATTAATTACTGAGAAGAGTGTTGAAGTCTCCAAGTGTAATCGTGAATTTGTCTGTCTGTCCCTCAGTTTCCTTCAGTTTTTGCTTCATGTATTTTGAAACTGTACTTGGTACATACATATTTGGGATGACAATTTCYTCATGATGAATTGAGCTCTTTTTAATTATGATACATCTCTTTTTAACCCAGGTAATATTCCTTGTAAAGTATACTTTGTTAATATAGCCATTTCTGCTTTTTTGAGATTGATTTTGTAGGTTATATCTTTTTACATGCTTTACTTTTAACTTCTCTGTGTCTTTATATTTAAAATGGGTTTAAAATTAATTTCTTATAATTATATCTTACCTTTTAAAATCCATTCTCATCATTTCCTTTTAATTAAAATATTTAGACCACTTATGTAATGTAGTTATTAATACATTTGGGTTAGTCTACCATCTTTTTGGTTTTCATTTTTTCTTTGTTCTGTTTTGTCATCTTTTCCTGCCTTTTGTATTAAYTGAGATTTAAAACTTTTTCAGAATTTTAGTTTTTCGTTCTTTTTTTTTTGTACTGGGGATTGAACCCAGGGGCACTTTACCACTGAACTATATCACCAGCCCTTTTGAAAGTTTTGAGACAGGATCTTGCTAAACTTTGTTCTAGTTAGCTTTTGGTCACTGTGAACAAAATACCCAACAAGAACAACCTAGAGCAGGAAAAGTTTATTTTCAGAAGTCTCAGTCTGTAGATGACTGACTCCATTGCTCTGGGCCCAAGTGAAGCAGCACATCATGAAGGGCCTGAGGGAGGAAAGCTGCTCATGGTGGATTTAAGAAGCAGAGAGAGAGAGAAACAGACAGCCAGACACACAGTCAGGATAGGCCACAGGAAGAACATGAGCATGCCCTTCTAGAGCATGCCCTCCAGTGACCCAGTCATGCTCCACCTTCCTACAGTTATTCAAGCTAGAATGGACCAATTAGGTCACAGCTCTCATAATCATTTCACCTCAGGATATTCCTGCATTAATAGGAGCTTTGGGAGGACAYCTTATATCCAAACCATAACAGAGTTGAAATTGCAATCCTCCTACCTTAGCCTCCTGAGTATCTGAGATTATATGAGTGTATCACCATGCAAAGTAATTAAATTTTTGTTTATTTTCACTAATGTGTGTAATTTTTGCTTTTTTTCACTTGCATTGTTATTACCACGTACCTTTAATTAGTGTTATATATCTTTATGTACAACATTAGAATCTATTCCCTTTCCCCTYCTGTATTTTATGCTATTTATATATTTTGTATGGAAGTTCTTTATTTAATAAGTGATTTGCAAATATTTTCTCCCAGTTGGTGACTTGTCTTTTTTGGAGGCTGATCTTAAACTTGCTGTCCTCCTGCCTTTACCTCCCAAATAGCTGGGATTACAGGTATGCACCACCACACTGGACTCAAAAATGCCTAGCACAGAATAGAAGTCAGTGGATATTTGTTGGGTTACAGAATGAATGATTGAGCATTTTATTTGAGAAGATAGAATGGAAACTGAAAATAATCTCTCCTGTCATTTTCTGAAACCTAAGATATAACCTTTCCTGGGCTTTATTTAGGTGAGTTCTGAATGAGAACTCAGAACTTTTATTGTTGTTGTTCTCTTTTTTAATTAAAAAAAATTTTCACATGACAAATTATTGCAGCCTCTTTCTTATTGCTGTTTCCTCAAATGGGTTATGTTATTTTAATGCAAATAGGACTTCCTTTTGCTTTTGGGTAGTGGTTAAACTAGATATTGATTGCTTTGTTCCAGTTAGGGATTGAGTTGATTCAAAACTGGATTTCTGTTCTAACAAGAACTTGTCTACTTACTGTTCACTCTTCATCCTAGGGTATGACCCTTCAGGGCTAAACCCAAATCCTAGGTTAGCTACCAGAACTACTCCTTTTTGTAGACCCAAGCTCTTTTTTTTTTCTTTTTTTCCTGACAGAGATAGAATTTAGGGGTATTTAGTGAGTGACCTAAATTCCCAGCCCTTTTTATTTTTTATCTTGAGACAGGATCTCACTAAGTAATTTAGGGCCTCAAGAAATTGCTGAGGCTGGCTTTGAATTTGCAATCCTCCTGCCTCAGCCTTCTGAGTCCCTGAGATTTCAGGTGTGCACCACCACACCCAGCTCCCAAGTTGTAATTTTTGTCCCATCTAGCCTTTGAAGATGCCAGAAGTTATTCTTAGCTTCCCCACATTGCTTTCCTTTTTGATTTTGCAATCATCTCAGTGGAAGAAATTACTTCAAATGTTTGAGTCTCCTCTTCTGTCTTCTCTCATATAACTTTTCTAACAACTATGGTAGTGTTCTGATGCTTTTAAATCATGTTTTATTTTCTCGTGTATGTGTGTATGTTATACGTATTCCGTCTTTTCTATTTTCAAGAGGATGATTGGTCTGAGACAATCTAGTAAACCATTGCCAGAAATGTCTTTCTCTTTTCCCTATTTTTCTAATTCTTTCATACCATCCTCCACTGGGATATTTTCCTCTATATTTCATTAACTATCATGTTCCCAGCATCTAGAATAATGTCTAGCACAGAACAGAAGCCAGTGGCTATTTGTTGGATTACAGAATGAATGAATGAACATTTTATTTGAGAAGATAGAATGGAAATTGAAAATAATCTCTCCTGTCATTTTCTCAAACCTAAGATATAACCTTTCCTGGGCTTTATTTAGGTGAGTTCTGAATGAGAACTCAGAACTTTTATTGTTGTTGTCTCTTTTTTAATTTAAAAAAATCTTCAAATGACAAATAATTGCAGTCTTTCTTTTATTGCTGTTTCCTCAACAATTCCTGTTAAGTAGTATCTTAGGTCTTTATTTCTCCATTTTTAGGGATATATTACTACTCTTTTAGTAATTGGAAAGGTTTTAATTATTATTATTTAAATTAAAGAGTTTTCAGGAGAAAAAAGTTAAAAGATAACAATGGCATTGTAATTAAAACACTTAGGCATAAATAAAAGCTTTAATTTTTATTGTAATAATTGCAGAGTGAATACAAACAAGACAAAATAGATTGCTGTGTTTTAGGTAAAGAKGAACAGTTTTATAAAAATTATGTTTTTACATAGTATATAAATGTTTCCCTCCTCTTCCCTTTAGGGCCATTTTAAGTGCCAGATCCAGTTATTTTGCTGCAATGCTGAGTGGATGTTGGGCTGAAAGCTCCCGAGAGTACATTACTCTTCAAGGGTAAGCATAATTTTTACAAGACAGCGTGACTATAAGTGATTGCAAATAATACTTCATATGAAGCACTTGTGAATCTGTTTTGCCTGTATGATCAGTGAGTATTTCTCATGTAGTAGAATTCAACTAAATAACATTTTCTGAWACAAGAGGTAGGAGAGAGCATTTAGTAATAGAAGTAGTATATTAATCTGCTCAGGATTCTATAACAAAATGCCAAAACTGGGTGGCTTAAACARCAGAAACCTATTTTCTCACAGTTCTGAGGACTGAAAGTTGAAGATGAAGGTGTCAGCAAGGTTGGTGTCTGACTAGGATAGCTACCTTCTTGCTATGTGCTCACATGGCTTTTGTTCTGTGGTGTCTTTTGTAAGGATACTGATCTCTCAGATCTAGGTTCCATACTTGTGATTTAAATTTAATTACTCCTTAGAGGCCCCATCTCCAAATATAACCACACTGGGAGTTTGGGCTTCACCATATGAATTTGGGAACACATTCAGTTCATAACAGATAGTTTATGATTATGGAAGATTTTAAATGCCAGGCTATAGACTTTATTATCCTGTAGGTAAAAAGAATATATAAATGGATCTTTTGGTGACATTTTATCATCACTACTGAAAATCAGCTTAAAAGACGTATGTATCCTACTGATAAGATCTCTTTCTTTATGATCAATTTGAAATATCCACTGAATATAGGAAGGGTAGCTAACAAAAGCCAGAATCTCTAAGTATGGCAATCCTAAGGATAATCAAAATTATACTTTGTGTAATTTTGAAAACTTGTCCAATAGCTATGTTTCATATATTTTAGACTTCATTTTTTAAACTGTCAATCCACTCTTAATTAGAATTGCATTCATTAACAATTTAAATAAAAAATAATACTAGTTTGACTCAGAATTTAACTTTTTGGCATTCATTAAAAATGATTATAAGTCTGTGTAGTGAGACAAAAGTCAAAAGAAGTATGATTATGGGATCTTACTAATTAGCAAAGGAAAGTAATTTCTTTCCATGGAATAAATTTTAGTGTCTTAGGTTAGTGATACTTTTAACTACTTGATATCTATTATGTATATCTTATTCCTGTCTTCAAATAGATTCTATTTGAAGTAATAATATCTGACAATAACACTATATATTTTGTGTTTCTTCCACATTTAGTATACCATAATTTTTAGAATCAGTCTTTGAGATAGAGAAGGTATTTTAAAGTTAAATGTCTACCCAGGTAAATAAGTGCGTATGTAGAATATAATTCACACATTTATTAATTATCAATTCAGAATTCATTCCACTGGTCACTGAAGAAATTAAAAAGTTTTCCCATTGACCTGTATTCTTGAGCTAGCAAGAAGTACTCTTCTGTACTGTTAAAATTAGCACTTTTAACATTTTGTCCCATTGAACCTTAAAGCTCCTGGTAGGTTCATTAGGGAATRTATGACATAGGTTTATAATCTTACAGAAGGCCATTTGGTAATGGATGCCCCTTCAACTTTTGTCTGTTTTACATAATTGTTGACCTCTAAGTTTAGTTATAGGAATAAAGGCAAGGGGAGTCTTGTCTTTGTCTTTCATTCTTCCTTCATCMTCCCTCATGAACTGACAGATTAAACATTCACATACCCAGGCTTTTGAAGATGAGGTCTTTTTATTAAGAGGTCAGTGGACCCTCATTGTTATACAAAATTACATATAAGAGGTTGTGAGGGGAATGGGAAAAAAAAACAAGGAGAGAAATGAATTACAGTAGATGGGGTAGAGAGAGAAGATGGGAGGGGAGGAGAAGGGGGAGAGTAGAGGATAGGAAAGGTAGCAGAATACAACAGTTACTAATATGGCATTATGTAAAAATGTGGATGTGTAACTGATGTGATTCTGCAGTCTGTTTGGGGGGTAAAAATGGGAGTTCATAACCCACTTGAATCTAATGTATGAAATATGATATGTCAAGAGCCCTGTAATGTTTTGAACAACCAATAAAAAAAATAAAAWTTAAAAAAAGAGGTCAGTGGAAAAGAAACAGTGGCATCAGTCATTGGTCTCTATTCTCTCACCTGTAACTTTCCATCTTTATGGTAAGTATTTTCTCATATAATATGACCAGACTACTGCTGACCAAATTTAGTAGCTTATTCAAGGAAGGTCAAATACAAGTAGCCAAATTAGTTTCCAAGTGTTATCCAAATAAGCAGACTATACTTTGTGTTAGTGCCAGCTATGACCAGGCTCATTGCTTCTTGTAGTATTTTCCTTTCACTTATTCTATGGCAAGCAAGGTTCTGCTCCTTACCTACAGGATCCTCTTACCTGCACTGCTGTACGAGCAGTGGAGGCTCACTTCCAATTGGTATATTTATTCCTATTGCTAATGCGCTGGAAATAAGGATAGATTTCTCTTTGGTTCAACTCATTCATCAAGGAAGATTTTATAACACTAAAATAAAAGATGAAAGTATCTTCTGATGGCTGCATAGTTTAATCTACATCCTTTTATCATTATTCTTATCATATAATTCTGTGATTTTTTTCCCTTTCCTATTATATCACATATCAAACTGATTGTGCTCAGATTGCCATCTTAGATTATTATATGCCACATTAATATTGTGGCATATAAAGCTATTGGAAGGCTAAAACAGATTGAGGAATTTTACCTTACAGAAAAAAAAAATCACATCTTTTAGGGAATTTTATATTGTAACAGAGTAATTTACAAAACCAATTCCATTTTTTCCATTACCATATTATAAACCCAGGTAGATGTTTCTATGGAGAGTGTGGTGTAATAGAAAGATTGTGAACTATGATGTCCTTATAGGAAGTCCTATATCCAGCCATAACTTCTTAAATTTAGGAAAATTCCTTAATTTTCCTGAGCTTCCTGAGGTTGTTGAAAGGATTGAGTGAGGTATAGTAAAAATACAAACAAACAAAAAAACCTGGCATAGTGCTTGGTACATAGTATGTCATTATGATTTGTTTTTCTAATTTCTCTAGAATTTCTCTTTATTCTAAAGAGAATAAAGTTCAAGTGAGGGCCATTTCCAATACCAGAACCCAGTGACTGCTTTGCATTATCAACAGCTTCTTTTGAAACTATGTAGCTATTGCAAGTCTGCATATTTTCTACAAATAGAATAGCATGAAATCCTGTCTGTTCTTACAGAAAGAACCACCGTGCTTTTGAGGTGGGCATATTAGAGTCCTATAATCCCAYTCACATAGGTGCCTGAAACTTTAGAAACACAGAAATTGCATAGAGTAGGTGCATCAATCTCTTAGATCTTTGTCCTCTCATTAGTTGTTAGTTTTTCTAATTTTGAATATATGTAATGTTTTCATCTCCTATAAGCTTTTATCTGATTACACTTTAGTTGGAATAATGCTTTAAATCTTTCCATTTAAATTGTGGGCTATTGAAGTAATTTGTTATTTTTCTAGGTCACTTGATCCTGACTTTATAAACCGTTTTAGGAAAAACATAGATGACTTGCAACATGATAACAAGAATGCATCTTAGTAAAACATCTGTCAAGACAGCAGGAAATTGGTTTCTTGCTGTTTTTATTGCTATCATATATTGATACATAGGCACAAGTGTCTAGATTTTGCTCCTTATTTTAATAAAATGACTCTTGTTTTTATTTAGTCATTATTTTTTGCTTAAACATATCAAGTCTTAAACTCTTTTCAATATAAATAGCCAGTTCTCAGAAATGTTAACAAAAATGGCTCTTGAGAAATGTGAGGAAAAGTATATTGAACAGGGGCTGGGGATGTGGCTCAAGCAGTAGCGCGCTCGCCTGGCATGCGTGCGGCCCGGGTTCGATCCTCAGCACCACATACAAACAAAGATGTTGTGTCCGCCGAAAACTAAAAAATAAATATTAATTTTAAAAAAAAGTATATTGAACAGCATTACATTCTAGAAAGCATGCTAATGTTTTAGTTTAACAAACCATAGATAATATGGTCTAATGTTCTGAGATTAAACCTTGTCATTTTCATTATATACATATGTACATATATGTGAGAATATTCAGATTTTTCACTTTTTTCTCTAAGTATTAAAGATTAGAGTTTGGAATCAGCAGAAACTAGTYAGCCATAATAGAGGCCAGTTTGGGAAGGTTTGAGTTCTTCTGTATGAGTTCTAATAAGTCATTCATTAAACATTCATCAAACACTTACTGAACATATATTATTCAAGGAATAATACAATCAAAGTAAACACCTGAATTCTCTGAAACTCCATTTTTTTCTTCTTATTCCTTGTTTAGTTCCTTTACTAAGCATAGTTCCTAATATTTGTTAATCTGTGAGGTTCTTACCAACACTGTCTCAATCAAGATTCCACTACAGAGCTCCAGTATTACATGAAGAAAGGAAATTCTTCTGTTCCAGTGGTATTAAATCAATACTGACATTCTTCTGGCACTAGACATACAATAATAAATAAGACATCAATACTGCCCTTACAGAACATGGTCTAGAAAGAGAGACAAATTCATAAACAAACATACTGCAAATTAGTTTGATAAGTGAAATAATGAAAGTATGTGTAGAGTACTGATTGAAAGCCTAGACTTGGAGTGATTCTGCTTAGATTTAAATTCCAGTGCATTACTAGCCATTCGATCACCAGCAAGTTACTCAATTTCAATGTCTAGATCTATAAAATGAGACTAATAATAATATTTATTGTTGAGTTGTTATGATGATTAAATGAGCCAGTAGCATTCAAAGTGCATGTTAATTCAGGGACTGGATCATAATAAGTGCTTAATAAATGTTAGTTATTGTTTTTAACACTCATTTGAGATTTTGTTATTTATTTTGCTTTTGTTTTTGCCTTGGGAGTATTAAGGAAATAGAGATAAAGACCCACTAATCTTGTGTCTGAAAGATAAAATAAGTGGAGAGGGAGAACATTGTAAGCACAGTTAATATGTGCTAAGCCGTAGATAAATAAGGAATTTAAGTTGTTTAAGTATAGAAAATGAGTAAATTCAGTTATCTTTCATCAGCTACTAGAGAGGGAGAACTGGGGGTCAGATRATAGAGGTCTGTATACCAAACTGGGGAATTTGGACTTTTTTCTATGAGCTTTGGAGAATAGAATTTTAGAAGTGGGAGACATAAACAAGATTTGCATTTTAGCAAAGTCACTTGATAATAATGTGGGAAATGGAATGCTAGCAGAAGATTTCAGACAGGAAACCTGTGTGAGGATACTGTCTTAGTTCAGACAGGAGAAAATGAGAGGCTTGGGGCTCGGGTTGTGGCTCAGCAGTGGTCTCKCGCAAGTGCGAGACCATGGGTTCTATCCTCAGCACCACATAAAAATAAGTGAGTGAAATAAAGATATTGTGTCCAACTACAACTAAAAAATAAATATTAAAAAAAGAAAAAGAAAACAAGAGGCTGAACCAGGGCAAGGAGAGGGAAAATAGATAGTAGAACCTGAATTCAAGAAGTTCTTGAAGGTATATATGACAGAGTAAATGAGGGAGAGAATTAAGATGAACCTTGGGTTCTAACTTAGGCATCTAGATGAATGAGGTCTGAGAGGCTGTCTAGCAGGGTCAGGGGTATCTAATCAATAGTCTTCTTCCTTTATGTTCAGAGTAAAATATGAATCAACAGATGAAATAAGAAAACATTTCCTTTATTACTGATCAAAATGTTGAAACAGTATAATGTGCTTTGATCTAAGAACCAAAGTTAGCTTGTTTACTGTATTCCTCTAAGTCAACCCACCTAAGAAGTCTGATTCTGTATAGCAGATTAACTTTTTCCTAGTCACCAGCTTCCCACTGATTCAGCTGAAAGGAAAAATAAATCAAATTACCTCTCATTCTGATTTCCTCCTAAGGAACCAGCAATGGTTGTCCACCAGCCAGATAAATTGCCCACTTTGGTACAAAGAAGTAGAGGGTGGGGAAAGATGKCCTGTGAAAATGCTATCAATAAGATAGAAATAACAAAAAGAAGACTGAATTTGGAGTGTAGAGGAGGAGAGAGATTGTTAATTTCTGTTGCTTTTTAATAATATACTACCACAGATTGGATAGTTATAAAGAAAAGAGGTTGGGACTGAGGCTGTAGCTCAGTAGTAAAGTGCTTGCCTCGCATGTGTGAGGCACTGGGTTCAATCCTCAGCACCACATTAAAAAATTACATAAAGATACTGTGTGTTCATCTACAACTAAATAAATATTTTTTTTAAAAAAAGATGTTTATTTTGGCTCATGGCTCTGGTCCAAGGTTGATTGGGCCCATCTGATGATGATATTCTTATTGGCAGAGTACCAAGATGGCACAGGATATCACATGGAAAGAGAAAGAAAGCACATGAGAGACTTAGTCAAATTGTTTTTTATAGCAGACCCACTATCAAGATAATCCATTAATCCATTAATCACCTGAATGGGTTAACCCATTCATGAGGACAGAACCCTAATCACCTTTTAAAGATCCCATCTGGTCCTACTGCTTGATGTCTCACACTAGGAATTAAATGTCAACATGACTTTCAGAGGGGACAAACCAGAGCAGAGGTTAAGAATTCAGAGTTTGCTATAGTAAATAATAAAGGTTATCACTTTAAACTATTTCTTAAGTCATGTCTACTTTTTCAGCTATGTCATGAGGACATTGGTCAAACTAGAGCCACTAGCTCTAGGTGTAGGTATTACAAGTACAATCTGTACAGTATAACAAGAGTCTTCCTAGTGATTAGAGTTGTCCATCCTTAAGCAAAACCAGAGGCTAATTTATCAAAGATGCTGAAGAGAGGATTTCTTTCTTTATTTTATGGTTCTGGGGATCAAACTCAGGGCATGCTGGGCAAGTGCTCTACCACTGTACTGCATCCTAGCAGAGGAGATAATTTCTTAATAAGCAGAAGTAGGACAATGACTTCTTAACATTCCAGACTCTAAAAAATATGGAAAAAGATTCTTGATAAATAATCAATTATTTGATAGTGTACATTTTATAACCTATGTATAAGTCCATAGCTGCAGTTCATTTTAAATTAATGATATGCCTACATAGTGTTTATTTAAGAATGGAAATTAGAACTTTATTTTGGCTAAAAGTTAATGGGAAATAGAGTGATTTATTGATTTAGTTAAACCTTAATTATTTCTAGATTTGAGTTTTCCTTTATTTTGCAGTATAAACCATGTAGAAATGAATGTTATGATGCATTTTATATATGGAGGAATTTTGGACTTTCCAGACAAAGCTAATGTTGGGTATGTATTACTTTTTTAATAAGCTTAAATATAAAAGTGTTAATATTTTACAGGTTCTGCTTTGTTGAGCTATGTTGCAGTATCAGTGAAGCAGAAGCTTCACTTTTTTTCTTCTTTTGAGATGGGGTCTTGCTATTTTCCCAGACAGGTCTCCTGAGCTCAAGTGATCTTCCTAAATTAACCTCCCAAGTGTGGAATTTATAGGTGTGTGTCACCTTGCCTGACTCTGAAGCTTCACTTTTATTATCAATTTTGCTAACTATATTTTGAGTGTGTGTGGAAAATATCTAAAAACAATAAGAAAAGCTGAATAACTTATAGTAATAAGATTAAGAGGGCTGGGGATATGGCTCAAGCGGTAGCACGCTTGCCTGGCATGTGCGCGGCCCGGGTTCGATCCTCAGCACCACATACAAACAAAGATGTTGTGTCTGCTGAAAACTGAAAAAAATTAAATATTAAAAATTCTCTCTCTCCCTCTCCCTCTCCCTCTCCCTCTCCTCCCCCCCCCCACCCGCTCTCTCTTTAAAAAAAAAAAAAAGATTAAGAAAGGTCTTTTAGACTTAAATTATTTTAGAAGAATCTTACTTTGGAAAATAAATGAGAGTTTTTTTATAAAAATAAAATCAATTTTTTATCAAACTTTGAATGTTTTTATACTACTATATTTTTTAAAATTTAGGTTGTCTTTTTTAAACAGCAAAAGAAACATTAAAATTTATTTCAGAATATAGAGGCATGCAAAGACCAACAAGTATGTGATTCTTACATGTTGTATACTGAAATACCATCTAAATTTCTGAAATCCTACTGGAGAGTGAAATTCTACCTTGCTCTTCCAATTTTCTGTTGGTATTTTAGTAGCAAACAARTGAAAGATGCTTTTTTAATTTTAAAGAATCATCGGGATTTCTCTAATTTTGAATTTAATAAATACATTTTGGGGGAGAACATATCATAGGTCACAGAGATTAAGTACCAATATTTTATCCCCGGGCAACCTATAGGAAAGTTTATGCTCTCAAAACTTGTAGGCTGACTAAATACTGGAAGCATGTGTATGTGCTCAGAAGTACTTACCAGATGAAAGAAGTAAAGGCAACTCTGCAGTCATTACATGCATTCTAATCTTGGAGTCATTTGTAGGCATTTTCAATAACCATCAATAACCATGATAACCATCAGTGAATTCACTCCCCAAACTATTATTGCACAAATCTGCTGCGCAGATTTTTGTAACATTTACAACTTTCAAAGCAATTTCCTAAAAATCTTGTTCTATATGTTGCTGAGAAAATGAGGGGAATTTGAAATATCTCCAGATTTACTTGTTATTCACATTAAGTGAATCAGTGTCAGTGCTTTCCATATTTTGGCCTGTGACGTCGTTATAGTCCATAAAGAATATTTATTATGTGAAGCAAAAAGTTAGAAATAAAGTAATTCAGATTATTTTTAAAGACTATATGTTATCAAGAAATCACTGTGTATTATGGTTTGATTTTTATATTGGAGAATTAACAAATGCATCTATTTTCATTTTAGTCAGATACTCAATATGGCTGATATGTATGGACTAGAAGGATTAAAAGAAGTAGCAATCTATATTTTAAGAAGAGATTACTGTAATTTCTTTCAGAAGGTAATTATTGAGTCTCAGAAATCTTTATCCAGTACTTTGTCACCCATTATTACCTACTAGATTTAAGATTTTTGTTGTAATAGTACTTTAAATATAAAAAAATTAGTTTATAACTAATGGGGGTTCCAAATGACAGCACATATGGTGTCCTTTCAAAAATCAGAAACTAGTTAAAATATTTTAAGTGAAATAAAATTGATTTGGGAGGGTTATTGAAAGGATTTAGGATTTGACACTAGGAGAAAGGAAGTCAAGAATTATAGTTATCTTCTCCTTTTATCAAAGAATTACACTGTGGTTCATTGATTCTTTCCCCTAAAAGTATGTTCTTTCTTTGTACCACTTCTTTGGAGAATGTACTTAGTTCTCTTCTACAATCTCTCCATATGGAATATGAATACTGATTGTTTTTAATTTTAGTTTACTCGAAGGTCAATTTACTGTCTAAAGAAATATTCCATTTTAAGCATTCCAACTCCCCTTGGGACATTATTCTTAGATTCTTCATTGGGTTGTTTTTTGTTCTGCTTTTTTGCCATGCCGGGGATTGAATCCAGGGCCTTCTCTTGCAAGACAAAAGCCTTACCACTGAGCTACATCCCTGGTCCACTTCATTCTTTCAATGTACTTTGTAACTGTAGGTTATTTCTATTTTCTCATTTATGCCTTTCTGAATTGTGTAAATTTCCTACAATGATCACATAATCATCAACAAAAAAAMCCCAGCAAAAACAAATTTTGAAAGAACTGTTTACATTTTACTTCCCTTTTACTGGGTATGTGAGGAAATAGTATGCATTATATGACTTTTAATTAGGTAATTTTAAGTACACTTATATTGCAATGGGTTGTGGCTCAGCGGTAGAGTACTCGCCTAGTGCATGTGAGGCCCTGGGTTCTATTCTCAGTACCACATAAAAATAAATAAATAAAGGTATTTTGTCCAACTACAGATGAAAAATAAATCTTAAAAAAAAAGAACATTTAAATTTAGATTTTTGTGTTGGATAGGACTTTTCCTACCTCCCCATAAACTGTAACTGAGGAAGCAGCCCATATGCTAAAAGAGAGCCATGAACAGCTGGGTTCACTAATGCCATCATTACCCCTCTGCAGAGTTTACTGAGAAACAGTTAAACCCCTCATGTAGTTTTGACCAATGATTCACTCCAGCCTTCATAATTAAGGGGATTGAAAAAAGGAAGGCAATATGTGGTGGTCTCAGCTTTGTGGAGAGAGAATAATTGTAGTGAAAGCCTTTTCTTTCTCCTGCACATGCCTAAAATTTTCATTTTCCCTAAAATGAAAGTTAGGAGGGAGATCCAAGTGAATCACATATAAAAAATAAAGATAGGAAGTAATTGCAACAAGGATAGGATGCCTTCATGTCCCAGTTGGACATTTACTATATCCATAAAACTAGCCCACCCTGGACCTTCCATCATGGAAGAAAAGAAAGTGATAAGCGATTTCTTGGGGGAACTTGGAATAGGCCTGAAAAGCCTATGAGAATACCCTTAATGTGGATATTTCTAAAGGTAGGAGGCTTGCTGGACAAGCTAGAACTATCCTGGTGTTAAGGGACTATAGTTATTGTTATGTAGAGAAAAAAGTTGGGSAGTCTACTCTCCACCCCATTTACACATGATCTACAGGAAAGGAGGAGGACCTTAGTAGTTCCACGAAAGAGGATACTGAATCAAGACCAGAAAACAGTGTCCCACCTAGGCAGACATCATACATCATGAACCCTTAGAAGAGGCCTTAAACACCAAGAGGCAGTGGTGAATTTTTTTTTTTTTTCCCTAAAAGAGCCACCACCTCAGCAAAGGCCACCAGCATCTGAGAGCAAAGTCAAGGACAATACCCTATTACCATCTTAGTCTCTGCTTAGTTATGTAAAATGACCACAGCTATCTATGGGCATCTTCCTTAGAGTTAGACCTCTAAAAAATGGAGGAGCAGGAGACCAGATTATGTTCTACTCCCTATTGCCGATCTCACCAATCATGAATCTAGTCAATGTTATGGAGAGAAAGATTTATATCAGATATGAGATAGATATTAAAACAGTACTCTACTGAATTTTAACAATAAAACCAGAAAGCTATGGAATCTGCTTATTGTATTAAGAATTGCAGTGCAAAAGAATTATGAATGCAATGCACTCCTCTAATGTGATGTATGTAAGAAATAATTTTAAAAAATTTAAAAAAGATGTGAAAAATTGGGGATTTGACATAGCTAGGTAAAAAGCATTAGTTTGAAAAAAATATGTTTTATGTTAGTATCTCCTCTGAGCTGATACTTCTCAATAAACTAGTTAATCTAACATAAAAATAATCTTATGAATAATTTTAGACGGTTGTCTCTATTTTTATACATTCAGGAGTATATGGGTTATATGCAGCTTCTTGTATTTTACTTTTAGTGATCCACTTTATTTTATTGTTTTATATCCACTTTATTTTATTGTTTAATATACTGACATTGTAACACTGTTTGAGGGAGGCACATCTCAATGATATAAAAACTCAGTCACCACACTTATGAACAACAAAAGGATCCCCACTTAATTTTAAACCCAAGGGCATATTTGTTTCTATTAAAACAATAGAAAGTATTTCTTTTTAAATTAACAGTGTAGTATTTTGTTGAAAAATTTTTTATTGTATTTTATTTATTTTAATATAGTTTGTATTACTGTGGTAATAAATATTTGAGAGAACAGTTTCTGTTTTTATTGACCTGATCCTTAAACTTTCTTGCTTTTCATATTTTAAAAATATGTATTTTTATAATATACTTTTGAATATATAAATTTAAAAAAAAATTTTAGTTGTAGACAGACATAATAACTTCATTTTATTTTTTAAATTTTATTTATTTATTCATTTTAGTTATTGATGGACCTTGATTTTTTTATTTATATGTGGTGCTAAGAATCGAACCCAGTGCCTCACACATTCCAGGCAAGCACTTTGCCACTGAGCCACAACCCCAGCCCATAACTTTATTTTAATTATTTATTTTTTTTATATGGTGCTGAGGATCGAACCCAGTGCCTCACACATGCTAGACAAATATTCTACCAACTGAGCTACAACCCCAGCCTGACTTTTGAATATATATAATTTTTAAGTTTTATTTCTCACTTATGCAGTCTCTTGGCAGTGACTTAAGTATCATAAATTTATCATAAGATACTCCACAGTAAAACAAATATAGGTATAACATGATAGACAACTGGCCTCRCAATTCTTGACTGGAGATAGTTTTAGTCATTTCATTAACTTCATAATCCTGCCTTTCATACATTTAAATTTGGGGGGGCTTCATTTATGGCATTATAGTGGATATATATTTACTTTATATGCATACATATAGTCACCAATTAAAAATATATTTTAGAAAATAATTTCAATATTTATCTTCCCACATTCTGTAAGCAGGTTTTTGAAAAAGGTCAATCATGCCATTACAAAAAAAACCTTGGGAATCAGCATTTCACTATAAATTCTCAAAGAGCCAAAGTTATCCCTTTAAGCCAAGAGTCAGTAGGTTTTTCTCTGTAAAGGCACTTAGTGAGACCCTGTCTCAAAAATTTAAAAAAAGAGAAAAGGGCTGGGGATGTGTAGCTCAGCTGTAAAGCACCCCTGGATTGAATCACCAGTACCCACCCACCTCCCCCCCAAATTTCAGGCTTTGTGAATCCTCTTGTCTATACAGAACTGTGYTCTGATGTTAGAGATCAACATATAAATGAAGTAACATGCCAGTGTTCTGGTAAACTTTATTCACAAAACCAGTGATGGACTACATTTTCCCCACACACTGAAGTTTACCAGTCTTCTGCTTTAAACAACAAGTTTTTTTAAATATACATTTTGACAATTACAGAAATTACTATTGTTATATATCAGTAAACTTTGTGTTATATAAGGCTGGTTGTTTCTAAGAAAAATTAGATTGTTGAACTTTTTAACTTGTACATACTTTTACAATTTTTCAGACTTCTGAGTGTTCTTAGTCTGTTATACTAATTTGATACTCTTCTATGAATTGTTCCAAAAATCATATTATATCTAGGGCTGTAGCTCTGTGGTAGAGTGCTTTCCTTGCATGTGTGAAGCACTGGATTTGATCCTCAGCACCACATAAAAATAAATCAGTAAAATAAAGGTATTGTGTCCATCTACAACTAATATATATATATATATATATATATATATATATATATATATATATATATATATGAGAAAACCAAATTATTTAACTTGGTAGAATTATCATCATATAACCTATAATAGTGATAGTCATTTCTGATTTCAGGAACTCCAATTATCTTATAGGGATTTTAATTAAATTTTAATTTAATTTAAATTGTTAATATGCAAAATATTTACATTTAGTTCTTAAGTACTACTAGAACACTTTTTTCTTTATTTTTTCTTTTGGTACCAAGGATTGAACCCTCCCCAGCCCTATTTTTTTTTTAAGTTGTTGATAGACCTTTATTTTATTTTTTTGTATGTGTTGCTGAGAACTGAACCTGGTGCCTCATACATGCCAGGCAAGTGCACTACCACTGAGCCACAGCCACCTCAGCCCTTTTTTTTATTTTGAGACAGGGTCTTGCTAAGCTACTTAGAGCCCTGCTAAATTGCTGGGTAGCTTTGTACTTGCAATCCTCCTGCCTTAGACTCCCAATACAGGCATGTGTCACTGTGCCTACCCTATAATACTTTGTACTAGAAGATTAATAGTACTAGAAGATTAAATTAATAGATTAATTTGATAGAAGATTAAATTAGTTTAATTAAGAATAAATTAAAAGTTGGAAATTATTGACCTTATTGGAAGAATTATGCCAGAGACATTTCTAAAGAAGGTTTTTCTCTGCTTTGAGAACAGGAGATCTTTGGAAGTATATATTTAGAGACTAGATATATAAATCGACTTTTTGCTGGTCTTGAACCCTAGCTCACAACTAATGAATGTGTATAAAGAGAAATTCAACCTACTGGGGGAAAAGATGTGTCTAGGAACAGTTCAAAACCTGAAAATACATGGCATGGGCAATACATAGCACATATGCTTAACACCAAGAGCAATAGGTTGTTTTCCCTATCTGTATCTACCTTTTGTTTTAATTAATTACTTTTATATATGTGCTTTAAAAATGTTATATTGTAGTTTAATTAAAGTCTCTTTTTATCCAAGATCAGCATACGGGCTTTGTTACATTTTGTTAAAATTGAGAGAAAGGTATAGAGATAGCCTATATACCCATACCTCCACATATTATCAGAATTTTTTTTTACCAGAGTGATACATTTGATACAATTGATGAACTTACATTAAACATTTGATACAATTGATGAACTTACATTGACACATCATTATCACCCACGTCTATAGGCTTTAGAATTCACTCTTGGTATTATATATTCCATGGGTTTGGGCAAATGTATAATCACATGTATCTGACATCACAGATATGTGATCTTTTTACTGTCCTCATAGATTTGATTTTTTTATTATTACATAGTTGAAATCGTATAGTAGATAACCTTTTCAGATTGACTTCTTTTTTTGTGTGTTGGAAATTGAACTCAGGACACTCAATCCCTGAGCCACATTCCTAGCCCTATTTTGTATTTTATTTAAAGACAGGGTCTCACTGAGTTGCTTAACACCTGGCCATTGTTGAGGCTGGCTTTGAACTTGGGATCCTCCTGTCTCAGCCTTCCCAGCTGCTGGGATTACAGGAATGTACCAGTGCACCCAGCTCAGATTGACTTCTTATTAATATTCATTTAGTGATATTTATTCAAATTTCCTACATATCTTTTCTTGACTTGATAGCTCATTCAGTGTGAATATTCCATTGCTTGCATGTACTATAGTTCATTTATCCATTCACCTACTAAAGGATATCTTGGTTGCTTCCAAGTTTCAGGAATAATGAGTAAAGCTGCTTTAAACATCTTTATATAGGTTTTTGTGTGGAAAGGTGTTTTTAAGAAAATTTGAGACATTGACTACACAGCATGCCTATAGGCAGAGTCCCAACAGAAGTGAATTTCAGATACAGAATTAAGTATAGAAAATTGGTTTTTTAATTCATCAGAATTTGAATTGTATGTATTTATAGTTTAGATATATGTCACATTTTCTTTATGAACCAAATACTTTTACCCTCTGCAAACCAAAAAAAGAATAAAAGCAATGTTTTCTGTCAATTTTAGCCCATTTCCAGAACATTGACTTCTATATTGGAATGCCTAATTATTGCTCATTCAGTTGGAGTGGAAAGTCTTTTTGCTGACTGCATGAAGTAAGTTATATTAAGAAGTGCTGCTGTTATAAATTTAGGGATTTTGTTCTTTTATTCTCTTAATTTTCTGAGTTTACATTTGTTCTGTTTTCTTAGCACAATATAAGTAATTTAGTTCTTGTTGCACCAATTGAGCAAAAGTGTTGATTTAGATATTACTCAAGATGCTTGGGATCAATTTATTAGCTTAGTGAACCATGGTTATGTTAAAATCTATGCACATAACCCAACATGGCTTAAATTTTTTTATAGAAAAGGTAGTAAAATCCCTTTTAGAACTTATAAAATTAATATGAATTGGTCAAAATACATATGTACAATGTATATAATAGAAAACAAAAATATTACTATTATAAGTAAAAATATTTTAATTTCTCTAACTTGGGATTCTTTGATTCTAACAGGTGGATCGTAAAGCATTTTGCAAGGTTTTGGTCTGAGAGAAGCTTTGCAAATGTACCTCCTGAGATTCAGAAAAAATGCCTTAATATGTTGATTCAGTCCTTGGTGAGTATAAACTAACTACTCTTTTGTGCCATCAACAAAGTTTATTCAAGTATGGTACTTTTGATTATTTAAGTATAAATGGAGAATGTTATAAAAAGCAAGTGAGAAAACCAATTCTAGATAATGTAGAACCATTTCACTGTGTCTAGCCTTAAGTTTCTAATCCTCTGAAACCACTTTCAGTACTCAATTATTCACTAGTCAGGTTTAGTCAGAGAGGCAGAACCTCTAAGATGATTATATTAGTTCATAAACAGAGGGCTCCCAGAGATGGAGGTTGTGCATTGGCTTAGCAATATGGATCAAGCAGTCTGTACTCACCAAGGAAGATCTGGATACAATACTGAAACTTCTCAATGGTACTATTCCTCAAGGGTTCAGCCATCTACTTGATGATAAGTTTATTATATTGGCCTACTTCCATCATGAAAAAGGCAGCACTTTGTTCTTATTAATTTATATCTCTGGATATAAATTTTCTTCCCTAGCTCACAATGTTTCTGCTAAAACTACTATTCATGAATTTACAGAATACATTACCCATAACCTTGATATTCCACAAAACATCYCAGTGACTAATCACTTATGACACGATGACAATGACAATGACACATCACTTTATAGAAAATGAAATACAACAATGGGCCCAAAGTCATGGAATTCATTGGACTCATGAGTTTCCCCATCAGGCTGAAGTAGCTGACTTGATAGAATGAAGGAATGGTCTATTGAAGACACCAATATTGCCAGCTAAGTCCTTGGTGGACTGGGGCAATGAACCCCAGGATACAGTATGTACTCTTAATCAGTTTTTAATTGAAGGTATTATTTTGTTCCATAGACAGGATTTATAAGTCCAGAAATTAAGATATAGAAATGGGAGTCATTCTATACAAAATTACCCCTGGTGATTCCTAAGCTTCCTAAGCTTATTTTTGCTTCCTTTCCTGGCAGCTTTGGGCTCTGCTGATCTAGAGGTCTTAGTTCCAAAGAGAATGCTTCCCTCTGGGAACATAGTAATGATTCAAAAAAATATAGAAATTTGAGATTATCTTCATCTGATCAGTTTGTAAATCCACATGCAAAGAATGGAAATTGCTGATAGATTCTATTAAAGAGAAATTGGGTTGCTACCATACAGTATTGGTAAGGAAAAACAAACGTGGGATGCAGTACTTCCAGATTCTATGAGTAACATCAGTAGAAAGTTTCGGTAACCTAATTTAGTGCTGATAATGACCCAGATTGTTTAGGAATGAAAGTTTAGGCCACTATCAGATAAAGAACTATAAACAGCAGAGGAACTTGGTGAGGGCAAAGGAAATATGGAATGGATAGTAGAATAGTTGTAAAAAACAACTATGACCATGTAACAGTTATAGAAATGAGTATAACAGAGTTATGATATAAACATATAGTATTTTGTTTATATCATAACTACATATGTCTACATATTAACCCCTAAATATTTTGGGGTTTTTCCCACTGTCTCATTCCCCTACTATATAATATAAGACATTGATCTAAGATAGTTAACAACTTTATATCTTCATACTTAAGTTAAAAATATGAGGGAGAACTGATAAATCAGTTTGAAGAACGATTATCACTGAAGGAAAAAAAGGGGAAAATGAATTTTGTATCTTATTTTTTTAAAAAGCATGTATTGGGGTTAGTTGTGTAATTTTAGGCAGAAACGTGACTATTATTGTCTTCATTTGGGAACTAAGATTTGTTTATAGAGATATGTATGTGTGCCAAATTGACAAGGAGTTGACTGTATGAGCTTTGTAACATGTTAGCCTGGCTAGGGTAGACCTTACTTTCCAGAATTTCCTTTTTTGTATACTTCAAGTTAGAATGGCCACAAAAGACAATTTGGCATGAGATTTTTAGGGTAGAAGTGGTTAGGTCAGTTGCTATTGGGTCTCACATGTTGTTTCTTTACTGACTCATCTAGTTGGCATGGCCTACTAACTGTTCCACTTTACTCTCTACACTCTTTCAGCTTTTCTTACCCTGAGCCTTGTATGTAATTAACTCCATAGTGAAAGGCATCAGTGTCTCCTATAGGATGCCCATTTCACCCAGGTTGGAGGCATTATGACTAACACAAGTTCACCCTTGTGGATTCCAGTTGGTGCTTTTGGTGTTGGTTTGTCCTTGCTCTTCCTTACTTTACATCCATCTGGCCTTCTCAACTCCTGTCCTGTGAACTTCAAACTACACCATCAGATTCAAAGGCTCTTTAATCATCTCCCACAATTGTATAATGTCAAATCCCTGTAACAAATTTGTACATAGACAAATACACACTTCCTAATGGTTCTATTTCTCTGATTGAACTCTGAATAACATCATCAGACTGGGTTAAATAAAAGGTAAATCTAACTAGGAAAACAAAATTGTAGACTATTAGCGCACAGGATGCCACTACAAAATCTAAATCTATGTTTATGCTAATGAAGGACTTTGTAGTTTTTTTTTTGCTTACAATTTTGCCTTAGTTTCCTTAGTCAYTGAACAGTTAATTCCTATTCATGAAGGAAAACAGTTGTCCCAGCTATACTTCAGTGCAACAGAAATAGAAGTATTATTTACTAAATGTAGTAGCACTCATATTTGGCAGGTTTTTTWAAACATTTAAACAGTTCAAAAATACTTCTTATTTCTGTGATATTTAGTGTAAGATAAGTACTACTATCTCCATTTCACACATTAAGAAAAGAAACTGGGAGGTCAGTGCTTTGTTGAAGTTTACAGTATCAGTAAATGACAAAGTTCAGGATTAAAACCAATTGCCACCATTCTAAATATATAAGTGCTCAATGTGGACAATGTTTTTGGGTTTTTGTTTTGTTTTGTTTTTTGGTGGGGAGAGGGCTTGACATCAAGAAACTAACAAATTGATGGAAGAATGGACACTTAAGCTATGAAATACAAGTTAGACAATGATGAGTATTATCATTAAGTTCCATGTCAGTTTTATTTACCATTAAAGCTCCAGCTATAGAACAGTGCCTAACATATTAGGCACTTAGTACATATTGTCAAATAAATGAATAGGTATAATTTATAATTCAGGTATATACAGATTAAATAATCAGTTACCCTCAAGCTCTTAAATTTTATTAATTCCACTTACATGATATRGTTTCATTTTCTATAGTCAGAGTCAAAAGGCATCACCTTTCTCAGATTAATTTTTTTCCATGAATAATCTATCAGAGAAAAGCTTTCAAGTTTACCACAAATCAATGCCATTATATAATTTTTTGAAACAAAGGGATAAAACAATAATCAGTCTGACTAGAATAATGACAGAAGTAATTTGAGATGAACCTGAAAATATAATGTAATTTCAAAATAAATAGGGTAGGGCATTCCTGACAGAATAAAAATGTGACCAGGGGCATGGAGACTAGGCAGTGTGAATGTGCTGTATCTGAAATGAGAGATGAGACTGGGGACAGTCTGAGACTAGACTAGGAGAGATTTTAGCTGAATATCCTTGTTAATAAGTTTGATTTATTTTCTTACAAGTGGTATAGAGTTTAATTTTAGAATAAGCCCTTCAAATAGTGCTTCTCCCTCTGCTATGCTATTTTACTTTGATGTTATAGGTCTAATTAGATCCTTATAAGCTTTGTGAATTCTTGACTTTTAATTTCAAGATAGATGAAAAGATTAACATCAGAATGGCCAAACACCCAATTTGATTAATAGACTTTTAGACATCATGGTGATTATTACAAAATTTTGTCTTGTTTTTGTGGATTGGACAAATTTTTAGAAATTTAATTTATTAATTATATTTTGTTATAGAAATGAAATATATTTAGCTTTATTGATATAAAATAGAAATTTGAAATATTATCCAGAAAAATGGAAACAAAGAATAGGCAGTCTCCTTGTCTTCTTTTTCTTTTTTCTTTTTTTTTTTAAAGAGAGAGGGGGAGAGAGAGAGAGAGAGAGAGAGAGAGAGAATTTTTTAATATTTATTTTTTAGTTATCAGTGGACACAACATCTTTGTTTGTATGTGGTGCTGAGGATCGAACCCGGGCCACASGCATGCTAGGAGAGCGCGTTACCGCTTGGGCCACATCCCCAGCCCCTTTTTCTTTTTTTTAAACCTCAACCCCAACTTGGCCTTTTGGAAAATCTTCTAATGTGTATGTATCATATTTATAATTTTATTTTTAAAATAAGAATTCCAAATTGTTATATTTTTATGCATTCAATATCAACTAAAAATGAATTGAATTTTCAGATATTTCTTTTTTGTGTATTTGCATATGTTCCAAAGCATTGCTTATGACCAATGTTTATTAATATGACTTTTATCTGAAGAAAATAATTTGTTTATCTTACATACAAATTATAGCTGTGTCTTCTACTTCATTAATATTATTTTATATTTATTTGCTTACCATTTGTCCTGAACCTTGTTTATTTTATTTTGGAAAGAATACTTAACATGAGGTCTACCCTCTTAACATATTTTTCCCCTTGGCACTGGGGATTGAACCCAGGATCTTGCACATGCTAAGTATGTACTCTCCCACTGGGCCATACCCCTACATCCTTTAATCAATTTTAAAGTGTTCAATACAGTGTTGTTAACTACAAACACAATGCTGTACAGCAGATCTCTAGAACTTACTCACTTTACAGTACTGTAACTTTGTGGCCGCATTGATAGCAACTCCCATTTCCTTCTAGCCTCTGGCAATCACCATTGTATTCACTAATCCTATGAGTTTGACTCTATTAGATATCTTCTATAAATGGAATCAACAGTATTTGTCTTTCTGTGATTAACATATTTCACTCAGCATAATGTCCTGAAAGTTTGTCCGTGTTGTTGCATATTGCAGGTTTCTTCTTCTTCTTTTTTTTTTTTTAAGAGAGAGGGAGAGCTTTTTTAATTTTTTAGTTTTCAGCGGACACAACTTCTTTGTTTGTATGTGGTGCTGAGGATCGAACCCGGGCCGCACAC